GCGAATCGCGCGATTCGCTACTAGCGATTCGCGCGATTCGCTAGCGTCCGCGGTCGCGTTGCGGTACCAGCCAATTGAGTGATTCACTGGCCGCGACGCGACCGCAGACGCTAGCGAATCGCGCGATTCGCAAAGTCTGACATCGGCCTAAGCTTGTGGGATGACTCAAATAACACCGTCTTAGCGGAAAGACCCACCCTGCTTGCTTCCCTCTTGTCTCCAACTTCACTCGTTGCTCGTTGTCAGAGTATATCGCTCTGTCATGCACTCTTCGCCATGAACCCGTGCAATCAAAGAGATGTCTCAATCGAAGCGTCTTCGCCAGTTGGTCCACTCGTTCTTCGTGAATAGCTTACAGTACACGTACTCTCCACATCCTTTTTATGCGCGTTTTGAATTTCCACTTCTTTTCAGTAAATTTGGCAGTTCTTACAGTTCCTTGATCGATGTCTCGGTTTCGCATCAACACATGACAACATGGAGTCACCAATTGTTGCTAGCACGTCATCGCTCGAGCCGACAATATCGGATAGACTTACTGCGAGCTGTCCTCCCGAACCGTGTGCCATATCAGATGATGGACGATTTGCCGCAATAGTTAATGAAGCCAAGTGTTACGTGAATTCAGGACCTCTAGAAGATGTGCCATTCAAGAAGGAGAGGCCTGAGAGACCAGGAGAGGTACATTTTCTCATCACATCAGAATCTACAACATTCTTCACTTATTTTCTTGTCCTGTTGTTTTTGTATTATTATGTATTCAGACACAGTCAACTTCCGAAAGTCGAACTATTAGCAGAGCGTGCAGTACGCTATTAGAGGAAACTATAGAGGAAGAAGCAGAGACCCCAATCGAAACCGATCGTTTTGGATTTTTCGTACGACCGGACGAACTTGATCCAACAAGGTTAGTTCTTGGCAGTCAAGCTCCTTTTTCATCTGTTTTAACGAACATTGGAGTGCAAGGGTAAAAGTTTTCTGTAAAGAGCAGAATCCTCAATTAATTTGGACAAGCTGCGAAAGCGAGAAAAGAAGTGGATACACATGTTGGACAACTGGAGGTACTTTATGGACGAAAAGTATGTTTTTTATAATGTACATTGGGTGCGCTCATGGGGTTATGTGACGACCAACTTATCGTTCGTTTGCAGTCCGAGAATGGAACGAATACGCATCGGTCACTCGGTCGATACATATTCATTCCATCCCGAACTGTAGCGAACCGAGAGTTGGTCATAGGGTTTTCCTTTCTCTGATTTGTGCTCGGAACGGGGAATCTTCGAGGAATTTATGTCTAGGTTTCCAACAGTGCGGGAACGCTGCAGAAAAGGAATTCCACCTTCTATCAGGGGAAAAGCATGGAAATATCTTTGCGGTGCAACATATCAAATGGAGGTCTCCACAAATCGAACAGTTTTTGAGGTGGGTATTCTATATTCATGAGATACCATCAGTAGTGGTGTTTCTTCGACACTGACATTTTCTATTGCTGAAGCACACTTTTCTGATAGCATCATTTGAGCATGCAAGGCAAACTATTGAGAGGTTGAGTTTAGGGGGTGCATTTTCTCATCAAGAAAGGTCGCGGTGGTTTAGGGGAAGCTCAGGTGACCAAGGAAAACTAAATGTTTTTTTGTGTAGGATCAATGTTTTCTTCGCATGTGTATGAAACACGAGAAATAAAGAAAATCGATTTCCGGTTTCACCAGTGATATATTTCAAAGGAATATTGCGGTCTCGGTAGTTTTAAAGGGAATTGGGCAAATTTTGTGATGTATTATTGAATCTTGTATCACATGTGAGAGTCATGGTTCTGGTAAGAATAGCTGAAGTCTATGCTTTATTATTCGAGAAGGCACAACAATGAAATGCCAAAATCTTTCGTTCTCGAAAATTTTCGAAAAAGTGGAACGGAAATAGCGATTCCTGGCGCCATGATGTGCTAATGTCGTTGTCTTTAGGTGGCAACTTTCCACTTTTTTCATACAAGAAAAATTCAAATACGTGTCGATTAGAACATTCGTAGAATCCATGTATAGCAGGTTGGGCAAATCTCTCGAATCGCTGACTGAACAGCGCTTAGAATTACCATCTCTACATTGGTTTGAAAACTCTGTATCGGGGTTATTGGGGTTAGGTTGTGGGTTCAGTATTTCGCGATCAGAGTCATGCTCAAATGCTTGAAGTATCCGAGGAGGAAGAATGAAGAGGGTCATGAAGAGGGAGCTCCGTTAAAATGTGAATTTTCGAATGGATAGGACATGAGTTTGTCGGATAACTTTGGAATCCACTGCTTATAATGTTCTACACCCCTTCTACCACTGCCTCCAGTTGCTTTGTCGACGTATTAAGGGTTTGAACTAGGACAGGACAGTGTTGCGATAGAGTGATTTGCCAGTACGTT